CAGGGGTGCGCGGGGCAGTTGGCTGTTGTAGGGCCTGAGCGGTCCCGGGTGTTTCACTTGCGTTTCTCTATGAGTCTCCTTCCTGGCCCAGGAACCAGCAGGCAGGAGGTGGGGGTCAAAAGAAAAAGGAGCGGGCAAAGGCGGTTTCAAACGCACCTTTGTCTTCTAAGGTGCTGAGAGCCCTTTACTGCTGTTGGCTGTAGCACTGAAGCACTACAGTGCTATCGGGCTGTTTGCTGTCAGTAAAATGCAGCAGGGAGCCAGAGTTTGCTCTGGATCTAGGGCCCCAGGTTCAGGTTCCCTGTCACTGCATTGGCGCTGGCATCTGCCTTGCACCCTCGTCCCTCCAGGGGCTGTAGCTACGCATGTCCCTGCGCACTGGAAGAGCTGCTGCAAAATGCCAGGTGGGCGCTGAAGGTGTTGCCCAGGGGGAAACCCAGAGCAGCTTAAAGTAAAGAGGCAAGGCATGGATAGCAGCTTGGGGGTGTCAGGAGAGAGGGGATCACAGTTCTTCTGGGGTTTAATGTGAAAATTAAGAAGATACTCCAGAAAACTGGAAATTCCACATCTGTGTGTTCAGTAGATAAGCCTTCATATGGCCACAGCCTACACAAAAATTTGGGTGGCCCCCAGTTTGCTTTTACTGATGCAGTGCTGTTGTGAAGGGTTGTGTGGAAAAGCAGAGCAGTACCAGTTAGTGTATAAAAAAAAAAAAAAAAAAAAACGCGCACAAAAAGTGCTCAGGAGGCCTATCTGACTTATGTAGCGCAACCATTGCACCCCTCCTTCCGTAGGTGCTAATTCTCTCAGTAAACTTACAAAAATAAACCCCTGAAAAGGCTTATCCATGCAGAGAACAGCAACTTCATTCAGTGGAAGAACGAAGCTTAGCTCTGGCAGCTGAGCGCTCAACACTGCAGGCATTGCTATCTCCGTCTGCTAGTGCACAACCCCCTGAGCCAGGGCCGGTAGCTTTAGATGAAGTGAGCATGTTACAGACAACCGTCGCAGCGCTGTACCGAACACTCGTCCGACTGGACTGCGCACCCTTGGAGCGGGTGACAAAGGCCTCTAGCTTTCTGGCCCGGCAGGATCTCTCTGACCCTGTCAGGAACACCTCATTCACAAAAGACCCCACAGGTAAAAGATGTGGGAATTTGCTCTCAGCCTGCCCAGGACTGTATTATTGTATACAGTAATGTAGGAGTAAAATTTGATCCTGAAGACTATCTGGCTTAGGGGTGCTGCTGGCCTGTGCTTTGATGCTGGTGCCCCTGCGCTTAACAGCCTCCTCGAGCCTCGTGCCTCCCTCAAACACCTGCCAGAGACTATGCCTGCCTGGTGTCATTGGGGTGGGGGGAGTAAATAAGATTTTTGAGGATTTGGGGAGCTCTGATAAGGAGGCATAGATTGCGGTGCTCCGTGCGAAGCGGCTGTTCCTGGGGTGCTGCCTGCGTTACCTGCCCTGTCTGTGCCGAGGCTGCCGTGGCCCTGTGGGCTGTGGCACCGTCCTCAGGGCTCCTCACGAGAGGGCAGCATGTCGCCCTCAGGAAAAAGCTCTTAAAGCCCAAGCTGCCAAACAACCATGGGTTTTGTCTAAGGTCTTCTGCAGCAGGAGGCTTAAAACTAAGTGTCTGCTCAAACTGAGGACTTTGTTACCGGAACGGTTCAAGTGTGCTTCTGTCTTCTTGCACAGGCGTATGAATGTACTGAGGAAACGCTTCTTGCTCTCCAGTGCTGGCTTCAGCAGCTCCGGTGGAGTCTAAATGAGTATTTCCTGGTCCACTCCAAACTCTGCAAGATGCAGGAGCCAAAGAGTGAAATGTCATTGCTCATACTTTGCATTATTTTATGCTTACAGAATGCAGACACAGGGCCTAGAAGGGCCCATGCCATTGGGTCAGAATTTGCTTCCTCTCCAGCTTGTGGTGAGAGGAGACCCCTCCTGAACTGCACTCTGAGCATCCATTAGGGCTGTTCCCCCTCTCTCTAGTTGCTAGTGAGGAAACGTGCAGGTTGCAGGTTCCGATTTGCAGGCAGAATAAGCTTCCGAGGAAGCTGGAGGAAACAGAGTGTGACTGCGTAAATTGCGTAGATGTTATTTACTTCTGAGAACAGCAGGCGATTCTGGCCATCCGCCTGACCTGTGCCAAACCCCATCTCTCCAGTGACTCAGGTCTTGTCATTGTCAACAGTGGCCTCTGAACGTTAGTTTTAGGAAATAAAGCTGCGTGTGTAACCAGTAACTGATGTCCTCCATCTTTTCAGGGGAACTCACTTCCTGCTCAGCTAGATCACAGCTTGACTCCTGTCAGTGGCCGGGCAGGTGCTCTTGTCATGCCTCGGGGAGAGCAGGAGTGTCTCGCAGCACAGGTAATCAATAGCACCATCTGTCTCCTCCTTCTCACCCACCGCGCACGTGCTCCTGCTCTCCTGGGGAAGTTGGCTTCGTTTTCAGACATAGTATGAGCTAAAGTATCTCTCGGTTCACTAGACTTGAAGGTGGAGATATTTAACCAAACCACAGCATGGCAAACACAACCTTTCTGTTAGGAGCGTTGCACTGAAGTACTGTTGATGATTCTGTGCAAATATTAGCACTCGGTATCCAGTAACATGTCTCACTACATCTTACTGGTTATGAGTTGCTGCAGTTTTGCAAGTGCTATGTGGAGGGGGGTACAATGGTCGTCACTTAAACTTGCCGCACTTGAGAGAGTTGGAGTCTTGGCTTCATAAAATAAACATAGGAGCGCCACAGAGGTGAGAGATCCTGTGTTTGACTAACACTGGGGTGACCTCTCTGATGTTGTTGTAAATCATATTTTTATCTTAAATGGATACTGTAAAATATCTTAGGCTCAAAATTTAATTCGTCTTAAAGATACTTTGGTACTTAAAGCATTCAAATCCTGAGTTCATTGATTTTTTTTTTTCCCCCCGATGGGAAATCAGAGCAATTCCAAGCTCTGTAAAGAACTGATGAAAAACAATCTACTCCCCCTTCCCATCTCCGAAGGAGAGGTGCAAAGCTGTCTTAGGTTTGAACTCCATAAGAAGGTGGAAATATTTGTCAAATGAAACCCCTCTATGAATATGCCTTTAACTGGTAGAGGCAGAAGAGGTTCACAGTCAGTCTTTTAAAATACGCAATAAGGATGGTGTTCCTTGGTGAATCCCACACTGGCACAAGTTGACGTAAGCACTTGTTTTCAGGGCTTTTGTAGAACAGGTGGGAAATTCAAATTCTGCTCAAGTCACTTGCTCATTTTGTCACAGGAGATGCTTTGTTATTTTTGTCACCATCACCTGGTGAACCGAGTATGCCATACAGGAACCTTTTCAAAAGTTATACTGTGTCAGCACTGACCTTACTAGCCGTGTTCCAGAAACAAGGTGATCATTTTTGCTAAATTTGCTAAATTTTGTTAAATTTAAATTTTGTCCTGAGATTTCTGTTCTCCAGGAGGTAAACCACGTAGTCCTTTCCTGAGAAGAGTTTCCCTCTCTCTCCTCAAGTGCTGCTATTCAGAAATCATAGCGGGGCAAAGAAATCATAGCGGTGCAACCTGCACATTGCATAGGTCTGCAATGAGAAATATCTTTGCAGCAGCTTTATGCTTGAGTAGAGGAAAATTCTCCAGTTAGAAAGCAATGAGTATTGAAGATCTTCTAAAGCTCTCACAGCACCCATTACAAATCCCCAGTTAGGCTAGCAGCCAGCTGTCTTGACAGCTTTTAAAGGCGAGGGCTTTTAAAGGGTCTGCAAAGCTCCCCTTAGGACCAAGCATTCCCTCCTGTGGCTAGAGGCCTTCAGGTGCCCTGTGCTTCACCACGTGGGACGCTTCCATGCTGGCCCAAACTCCTCTTCAGGCCTCCCTTGTTTCTTCCTGTTGCCCGGCTCGTGTTTTCAGCGCTGTCGTTACGCAGCGAGAGCAGAGCGTGGAGCGGCCGGCCTCAGACACTGCCATAGCAACGGCTTCATCCTGGAGCCAGGCTGCGCTTTGCAGGGACGAAGACACGGCGCTATGGCGAAGACAGCCTCAGCTTAAAATCATCTCGGCTACCAGGAAGCAAGGCACATTTAGATGCCAGTGGGAAATGAATTTGGTCTGCTGTGGGCATCTGCCCATGATGCCACTTCTTTCTGAGAATAATTTATTAGTTTGAAAAGTAAGTAAGAGGGAGATGTCAGCCTATTGTTCCATGTTTGCTGCAATCTGTGGGTAAATATTTACGACTTCTTGCTGCCAAGTCAGAAGTTTAGTAAACTACTTCCCTGAATGTGGACGGGCATGGATGTCACTCTGGGCCTCATGTATTCCCACTGCATCTCCACTGAAGTTCAAGGTGTTGACTCAAGGACAAATTTGGCCAGCATAGATCTAAAAGCAAACACAGATCTCTTAAGTTTCCAAGGGTAATGTATACGTTAAGCACTGAAAAGGCATTGCTTCAGTACCATGGCTCTAGCTACAACTCTCCTGTGCGGTTTTGTGTGCCTATGGATATTTCACATATTAAGGAGTGTGCTTCTTTTAACCATGCTGGAGGAAGGAATTTTGCCCGGAGACCTGTCACTTGTAACCCTTGTTAAGCAAAGCATTTAAGCAGGTGCCTAAATGTGTTGGTGGATTGCAGTGGATTGTTGAATGGGGGCGTTTAGTGCAAGAATTGACTCCTTTGTGTCCACAAAACATTGAAAGATTGCTGCCTGCTGGCGTCACCATCACCGGGGCTTTGTACTGGGTGTCGTGCAGCTGTCTTGGTCTCTCAGGCTGCAGAAAGTGAGAAAGTTGCTGACTGGGCAAGGAAGATACGTGGGGGTGAAAAAACCCACATTTTTATTGGAACAAATTCTGTGCAATTCTTGCTCTTGCGGTGGGTGGTTGTCAGTATCAGCAGTAGCTGCTGCTTAGATACTCTGTTGTTTGGAGATCGTTCGTCCCATGGCTAATGACAGTGAAAGCGTCGCAGCTCCCTGGGGTGGGGAGTCCATAACCACTTTTTTCAGGAAGGCTGTGAACCATTTTGAGAAGTCACCAAAAGCAGAGTCAGCAAGAGCGATGCTGCAGCATGCAGCTGCCTTGTGGGAGGCTGCTGCTCAGTCCAGTTTCCCCAGGTACAGCCTGGTTTTACCGTGCTGTTGTTGAGCTCTGCCTTGTCCAGGTATTTCTGACTTTGCTCACTGCCAGAGGAAGCCTCGCGGGCTCTCGTGGGCGGCCAGCAGCAGGTGCCTTACTGCGTGGCGCCGCACGTCTCCTCCTGCCCACGGGGAGCCAGCATCCCACCTGTCCGCCCCTGCCTCTCGGGGAGCAAGGGCAGGCTCCCCGTTACTCCTTAGCAGTTTCTGCCACGCCAGAGCAGGACCTGACGTGAAACGAAATGAATGAGCGCCCTCTTTCTCCTGCGTTTAAGACTTCAGAAATCCCCTTCAGCAGCGGTGGAGCTCCCACATCCCCCTTGCTGGGCTGCTCCCTGGTCTCTCCATCTGTTAGGCTTGCGGAAAAATAGAAGAGGAGTGGGGAAATTGTGTTTGTGTAGCATGACATGACTCGCACAGGTTTTGCCTTAACTTTTAACAAGATCCCGCCTATACCTTTAATGACCTGAATGTAAAATTTATGGTGCAGAGAGCCCCCGCAGCGGAGGGAGCCTTCGGCATACAAGTGGCCTTTTGCGGGACAGGAGGGGAAGTGAAATCCGCTGAGATTCGGGAAGCCTGAATGATGTAGTTATGGTTGGCGCTTTGAATATAGGTGTAGCTGACTTCAAAATAAATATTTATGCTTCAACTCTGGCATACATGTGGGAGGGTGAGAACTAGCATGTATTAACGTTTCTTAACATGAATGATTTTGGAAATTACATACTGGCATAATGATATTGCACAAAATAAGCAGAGCTCAGTGTAATATGTATGCGGAAGGAGTGTCCCCTGCCCGGCGCACTGCCTGAGGAAAGCCAGGCCAGGGACGTTTGAGAGAGAAAGAGGTGAGAGCTCATCGCTCTGCTTGGAAAGCACCAGGGAGAACGTCTCTGTGGTGTCCTCTGCTCCATGGGAGCCTTGTGGGGACCAGCAGCGCTATCTGCTCTCGCACGCGCAGCCTGTGGCACAGCGCTAGTCCCGTCTGGAAATGCGGGAGGGCAGCGCCCTTGGCGCAGTGCTCGCCCCGGGTCTCGGAGGTGTGTGGCAGCAGGGGGTCAGCCTGCTCCTGCTGCAGCTGTGAAGGGGGCTGTGGCGGCAGCAGCAGCCCTTCGCTCCTTCAGGGCTGCAGGTGGCCCTTGCTGGCCCTGCGCCTGCGAGGCCCCGCGTGGCCCTGGGAGGCCTGGGTCCCCCAGCAGCCTCATGTTGCTGCAGCTGGGAGGAGCTGCCCTGCAGGGGTGCAGGTGGCCCTTGCTGGCCCTGCGCCTGCGAGGCCCCGCGTGGCCCTGGGAGGCCTGGGTCCCCCAGCAGCCTCATGTTGCTGCAGCTGGGAGGAGCTGCTGGGTGGCTTTCCCTGCGGGACGCTGCCAGCCTGCGCACGGTTGGCAGCACCTCCCTCACCGCTAGTTCACACGTGCGCCGGCAGGACGCCTCCTGACCCTCCGCCAGCCACAAATAGCTCATAGCCACAAGCTGGCCATCACTGAGGTCCGCAGTAGCCCCTTTAAAAGTCTTTGATAAACCTTCCAGGAGACGCTAGGACACACACCACTGTTTTCTGGACCCACTATTCCTGTGCGTTCATTTTTTAGAAGCGTGTTTCAGCCTCTCCAAACCAGGAGAAATATAAGCACAGCTCTTGCAAGACTTGCCATTTTGAACTCTAGCTCAGACGTGTGTCAAGTTTTCTATTCCTGAAGCTCTCATCCATCTGTTGGTGCTGCATGTGAAGTGAACTGGAAAGACCAGCTAAGTGCAGACCCTATGGGAAGCTGCGCAGTGTCCGAGTCCTGTTTCCATCAGTCCCCCGCTCCACCGCGTCCCACCGAGCATGTCTAAGGCAGTGGGCACGTGGGAGGGAAGGGGGCTGGAGCCGCGGCGTGGGCACGTGGCAACATGCCTCGGGGTAGTGTCTGCGGTCGGGCCCGGGAACACGGGCGGCGGGCACAGAGCTGCTGTGCGGAGTGGGCTAAATCTCTCGGGAATCCCATCCTCACTTCAGCTTTGTGTACTACAGCATTTTTTCAGCTCTATCAATAATTTTTTTTCACTAGATGATTGCTGAAAAGCTCACTAAATCGCTCTGGATTTTTCTGTTCAACCCTTTTAGAAAAAGGTGTTTTTCTCTCTGAGTTATTCTGGTTACTTGCCTGAATATGGTAGAGCTGACCCTTTTATCCTGCTCTGATGGACAGAATAACTTATTTCCCTATACCACTTCTTGTGATTTCATTTTCTCAAGCTCATCACAATCTTTCCTCTAGAAACTGAGGTTTTGTCTTTGTGCCGGAGTAAATTATTCTTTCTGGGACTCTTGCCTGCTTTTCCTGTTTCTGCAAAATTATACCACACTGTCCTTTCCTCCTCCTGAGTTTTCTGGGGCATCTCTTCAAGATATGGCAAGTACTAACAAAACACTTCTTTTTAAAGAAAGATGATAAATTATTTAAAAAAAAAAAAAAAGCCGACCCACTTCCTTCTTTGTCTGCTTGTTCTGGTTTTTCACTGCGAGAGGCGATGAAACACAATTGTGAGCAAAGCTCTCCGCTTTTCTTTCGCTACACTGATTAAGCTACA